AGTGCAGAATGTATATGGGGGTGTTGGGGCTTGGGGTGGGCGTGAGGGAATGTCTGCTCCTCTCCATAGGAAAGTAGACCTGGAATGAGTTCTGGGGGTTTGGTTCGTTTTGCATGATCCGAAGGATGGTCTGTGTAGACAAACCTGCTCTTGGCTTCCACCTCTGAAGCCTGAGGAGAGGCTGGTCGTGCTGAGGCTGGGGGGAGGTCCCCTTAATGTGTCCCCCACCTCAGATTGCCTCACTGCCAGCCCCCAAGAAAGAGCAGCAGGACCCTCCAGAGGACCCAGGCTCTGGGAGTTATCTGCTCATAAGGTGGGGAGTGGAAGACGCTGCAGAGGGTTAGGGGGAGCGTTGGAGGGAGCAGTGTCCTCATAGGGCCCAGAGGTATAGCCATGCTGGGGAAGTGGGGGGATCCAGTGTCAGTGCAAGGCGTGAGAGGGGCATCAAGCCATATCAGGACATTGAACAAGTCCCATGGGTTTTCTGGAGCCAGGAGGCCAGGACGTGGGGCTCCTAAAGGCTCCCAGGTCCGTGTTGTGGTGGGGAAGGTCTCTGGGCTCTCATGTGTGTCTGGGTGAGGGGCCATATGGAGCCATTTTGCTGTGATTAGCCTACCGGGATCTAGATGTGGGATCTGAGCCAGTGTCTGGGAGGATTCAGGTCAGAATCCAGGGGCTAAGGAGGTGGGATCCAGTGCCTGGGAGTGTCAGGGTCTGTTTCCTGTGGGTGGGAATTTCAGTATCCAGGGCCTGCATGAAGGGATTAGAGAGCCCAACAGCTACGGTTGCCAGGACTCAGTGGCTCTGCCTCTGGGCTCTCGTCACTGTGGTTTTAGGAGGCCAGGAGCCGGTGTCTCAGAGCTTGTGGATCTGGAATCTGGTGGCTGGGGGCTGAGGATGTAGTGGGTTAAATGTAGGAATCTGCCAGTCAAAACAGAGGGATCTGGGACCCAGTGAGGGAAGGAACTCAAGAATCCACTGGCTGGGATGAGGGGACTAG